CAGGCCTATCAGAGCAGTACCCCAATACCTTGTAACAACTTCTGTTTTTGTCATTGTTCTTTTGCTGTAAACAGACATCACCACCGTGGCAACTGTTATAAAAGAAAACATTGAATTGGGGCTGTTTTACATTTCCAGAGATTTATCCGTTATCATCATGGCAAGAAGCATGGTGGCATGCAGGCAGATATGGTGCTGGAGAGGTAGCTGAGAGTTCCACATCCCCATTGGCAGGCAACAGGAAGAGAGAGACTGGGCCTGGTTTGAGCTTCTGAAACATCAAAGTCCATCTTCAGTGACACACTTCCTCCAAAAGTCACACATACTCTAACGAGGTCACACCTCCTAACAGTGCCACTCCTTGGTGGCCATTCAAATCTATGAGCCTATGGGGGCATTTTGATTCAAACCACCACAGTATGTTGTACACATTTATGAAAATGCTGTGATGAAACCTGTTTGAATAATTCTAATATGATTCTGAAAGAGGAAACATTATTTATAACTTCCAAACTTAGAGTTGGGTAAATGTCTGTTTGTATCCCCTGTGCTTCTTGGAGACTCTTCTAGTGCTTTCTCTTGCTTGCAACAATAAGGATAATATAAAATAGTGACCGTGTTGATGCGACTGGAAGGAAAGGAATAGAAATACAAATGAAATCAATAACTCTACAAATAAGTTTCATGATTGAATTCTGGCTGTATGAAGTAGACAGGAAATCTCTTGGTATTTCTCTTCCTTTCATAGCAGTTTATATTTTTGTCCATAGAGATTCATGATATACTGAAATTAAAAGAAGGCTTGTTTCCCGAGTAAACAGTAGGGTTCTTCTGTATTTATATTAAGCTTATGTTTTTTTTATTTTTGTATTATATAGTCTGTTTTCTCCATTATCTGTAACCTTATATGATAAATATAATCTTTTAATTATATTTTTGGTAAATATATAATATACCCAATTACTAAAACTGAAAAATTCTACTCTTCACTGTACCTATCAATGGAGTTTAGAGAGGAAACAATGTCAGTTGTCAGTGGTGTATATCAGACTCTGGAACTTTTTGTTTCTCTTTTCTTTTTTTTTTTTTTTTTGCTTTTGCATCTTCTTCAGTGAGAGTTAGAAGTAAATTAAATGTTTTTATTCTCTTTTAGTTTTCCATAGGTAGCTGTGAATTATATTAATCTAAAGCATAGAGTAGAGGGACATGTGCTTCCTCTATTGGTCTGAGAAGCATAGAGAGGAGAGTCATACCCAGTTCTCTATTGGTCTAAAGAAGTGTAGAGAGGAGGGACATCCCCTTTCTATCTTGTAAGCGATACCAAACTAATTTTTGGATAAAGAAAATGGTAGGTTTTTGTGGTGATTTTATCAGGGCTAAATTATAACAACCAAGTTACTATTTATGATAATCAGTTTCTAGAAATATTATAGCATTAGAATTACATAGAATTGTCTGCTATTAAAATGGTATAAGTCAATATTGGAATTTTTATGCTGAGTTACTTAGAATATATACATACATATGTTTGTATGTATGTATATATTATTTTAAGATTAATTTCTTTCAGGCCCTTGTATTGTACCAAAAAATCAGCCAAAATTATAAAAATGTCCTAACTATCAAATTTCTTAAGCTAGTTAGGTTTTCTATTGCTGTGATAAAACACCATGACAAGGAAGGATTTATTTGGGCTCATGGTTCCAGAGGTAAACGGTCTGTCACGACAGGGAGGGGGCAACCATGGCAGCTAAAGCAACACGCTGAATGTTCATGTCTTAAATCACAAGCAGAAAGCAGAGTGCATGGGGAATGGCAGGAGTCTTTTAAACCCTGTAAGTCTGCTCACAGTGCCACACTTCCCAACTACAAGGGCATACCTCCTAAGCCTTCCCAAATAGTGCCAGTAACCCAGACCAAGTATGCTGACATCTGTGCCTATGGGGGACACTGTCACTCAAACCACTACAGTGGCCCACTCTTCTAATCTCAGGACTTGAAGGTATAGGCAAAGCAGATCAGGACTGAGGCCAGCCCATGCCATGTAAAATTCACTGCCTTCAAAAGTAAATTGTTGAAAAGAGATAGAGAAAATGTATTTGTGAAAACATTATTTGTTTATTTATTTATTTATGGCTGGAGGGACAGCTGTGAGTGCTGGGAATGAAAACCTAATTTACTGTTATTTAATAATTAAGGATTTCCTTGCTGCTACTGGAGTTTTGGTTTTTTTGTTTGTTTTGAGAATTACTGTGTATTCTAGGATGGCCTTGAACCTGGGCCAACCCTACCAGCCACAGAAGTATGGATGTTGCCAAGGAAATTGGGGTTCCCTTTTAGGTTTTTAGTCTTCTTTGTTAATTATTGAATTTCAATTCTTAAAGAAGCTCAAGAACAAATTTATTAAAGTTTGGGAGCAAAACTACAGTCCAGGCAACCTTTAAATCTTGGCAGCAGCCAGGTGGAGCGAGATGGGAAAGAGAAAGGAAGTTGGGGTCTAATCAGTGCAACACATTCAGCAATGGAGGTTGGCAGGTAGCTGCCTGGCGGAAGCATGGGGACTTCAGGAAAGACTGAGAAAGCACAGAGTGGTAAAGAAAGCGTGCGGAGGCTGCTGGCCAGTACCCGAAAAAAGAGGTAGAAAAATGAGAAGGAAAAGTTAAGCTTTTTGAGTCAAGACTCAGAAAAACTGAGACTTTGCAGGGCTATTTAACAGAAGCCCTGTAAACTTGGGAGAGGGGCCTCTGGGAAGGAAAGGCACATTATCTCATTAAGGGGATAATTATTCCTCCCACCTCTGTAGCACAGCTTCAGGTAAATCAGAAGATTGACAGGTCCAGATGGATTAGCTTCCAAAAAAGGTGGCAATGCTCTGTAACATTCTAATCTTTCAGTAGATTGGAATGTCATGTCTCCATGCAGTAGAACTCAAATTCTATTCTTTTGACCAGGAAGGAGTAGCTTTTCCTTAGTGGGCTTCAGTAAGGCCTGTGTATCTCCAGTTTTTAATGCTGGATTAAGAAAGTGCCACTGTGATGTTTAACTTTCTGGTTATTACCAGGGAAAAAGAAGATAGGGTCCAAAGCTGACCATGAGTGAAAGATACATCCTCGGTAACTTCTTAGCTGCCAGTCCTTGAGACACTGGGATTATTGGCATGAGCTTTCGCTTCTGGCTTCCTTTATATTCTTGTAAGTGAGAATTCTATATAAGTGTGTTCCTTTAATAAAAGATTAGTCAGTTCCAATATAAATGTTACGTCACATTGTGACCTAGAGCTACTAATGTTTGAGTGGCATTCAATTTGCTTAGTCATTGGCTTTTAATTATCTGTAAACATCCACATCCACACGATATGTAATTTTTGTATATGATAAAATGCACTCTTTTAAAGAAAATACTTTGAAATTTGACAAGTATCTCTAGGTATATAACCACTATATAACCACAAACAATACACAATGTTTTCTCGTGACCTCAGAGCAAGCCTCTGTCACCCACGGTCATCTTTTCTTTCTCCTTAGTCACGGGTGGTCCTTTTCCATTACTGTGAATTGGTACTTCTCAACCTCAGCCCAGCCTTAACACCATTAGTACTTTAGAAAGTGGGATTTTGGAGGGAGCCAGAGTGTTGTACTTTGTCATGTAGTGATTTTAGCAGCATCTCTGGACCTCTTCCCATCAAGTACCAGTGGATCTCTCCTTCCACTTTCTCAGTTGTGACAACAGATGCCTATTGCCAAGTGCCCTCTTGGAGCAAAACTGCACCCACCTGAGAACCATGGCTTACTCTAAGATCATTCTTCCAGTGCTAGCATTTCACCCAAATAGAACTATATAGGATATGGTCTCTGTACCTCTTTCTTTCTGCTCAATATAATGACTCAAGGTTTATAAAGGCTGTTATGCAAATGCTATTTGCTTCCTTTTTACTGAGTAGGAGGTCCATATTTAATAACAGGCTACGTTCTATTTAACTATTTCCTTTTTATGTTTCTCTGAATCTCTCATTGAATTTAACATTTATTTCTGAGAATCTGTTTTCATTAATTGTTTCTTTTACTAGTTACACGTCACATTGTTCTTTTTTCATATTTTTTGGATGTTGGCCACATTTTAAATTTCATGATGATTGCAGCTTTGCTTTTAATTTTTAAAAATAATATTGGATATTTTTTGGCAGGGAGTTACTTGTATATCATCTTAATTTTCTAAGGTGATCGTTTTTATTTGCAGCTGGGCATGAAGGCACACACTTATAGCCCCAGTGCTTGGGAGTCGGAGGCAGGAACATGCTGAGTACAGTCTTTGTGCCACAGTGGAGTCATAAAAAGCTTTCCTTGTAAACTTGAACATCCTTATCCATTATTAGTTATGCATACAAATGCAATTCTAGCTGTGGTAACTGTGCGATGATGGATGATATGTGTCAGCCTGTTAAGACTAATTAAAAATTTAGATCATGGACCTTCTACACCTCACCCAGACTGTTTTCTCTGTGTTGTGTATGTGTGTGCACATGTACAGGAATGCAGTAGTTTGTCCTAACCTGTAGCTTCATCTTTAATGGTCAGTTACACAGCAACAACCAAAGTCTGAAAGTATTAAGTAAGAAATTCCAAAACTAAATAAATGATAATATGTAAATCACATATTGTTATAGGTAATCTGATGAGGGTCTCTGTTTCCTGCTCACTTTTTCCTGTCCTGCATGTGAAATATCCCATCTAGCTGTGTGCTGTGGTGCTATGTGTGCATGTGGTTTGCCTGGTATCCATTTAGTGGCCATTCTGATAATTGTTAATTGTGATATAATATTACTGATGTTCAATTAACTTACTCAATGGCTCCAGTATGGAGAGTGGATTGCTGTCATTTCCTTTTAAGAAGTTATCATTGCTTTATTTTGTTATTAGTGTTACTGTTAACCCTGTTTGCTTCAGTATGGATGTTTGATTCTATCTAGTTGTAATATTCTACTGTGTTGTTTTTCTTACTAGACAATGATATCGTAAAACTGTTATCCTGCTTCAAAATATCTGATAAACAAACTGAGTGGATAGAAAACTGCCGAAGACAGTTCTGTAAAACAATGAGGTCCAAGCCGGATGCAGTCAGTGGAGGTGGTGAGTGTGCTGTTTTCTACTGGGATCTGCCTGCAGAAAATTATTTTAGCAGACACTGCGGCTCCTGCAGATTTCTACCTGTGCATGCAGGAAACATAATGCTAATTGGGAAAGTCCACTGCCCCCTCTTTCTCTGGGGACCTGTAATTCTAAAAGAGCCAAAGGCCAAAGAATTCCTAAGCATTTTTACGGACTGGACTGTCTGTACATGTAGCCAGCAGGTTTGAGGTTCCCGTCTTTCCCGAGGCTGCACTTTATCTGATTTAAACAGTCTTCACTTTCATATATGGTGTTGCTGTATCTTTGTAGAACTCTTACCAGTTTGCTAGTAATGTAAGTATCTTAAAACATCACCAGGCGTCCGCCAAAGAAACTGACTGATTCCTAAGGAAGCTTTGTCTTGAAGGAGTGCCTCCAGTTTAAACTTATCAGCAAGTTTAACCTCAGTTGTTTACATGTGCTGTAGTTTCCCGAAGCTGGAACTTTGATCTGATTCTGTTATAAGATAGATTTCCTAAAAGCTGTCATTTGAGAGTGATTTCATTTCATCACCCATACTTAGAGATTTTCATATTTGTTATAAAATTAAAATCAAGAATTTAAAAATTAACTTTACACCTTGCTGGAAAATGATCTTTTTACAGATGAGTAAAATATTTATGTAGCAACAAAATCACAAATTATTCTTCACAGTATGAGTATAAATGAGCAGCTAAACCACGTTTAGTCTTCCTGAAGATTTACAAAGTATTGCTGCGCAGTGGTGGTGCATGTCTTTAGTCTCAGCACTCAGGGAATAGAGGCAGGTGCATCTCTGTGAGTTTGAGGCCTGGATGGTCTATAGTGTAAATTACAGAATAGGCTCCAAAACTACAGAGCAATCCTGTCTCAAAAAATATAAATATAATCCTTATTAAAATACATACATATATATGATACTATGTATGCTATATATATGTGTATAATGTCTTAGTTAGGGTTTCTGTTGCTGTGAAGAGACACTATGACCATGGCTAAATCTTATAAAAGCAAACATTTAATTGGGGCTTGCTTACAGGTTCAGGAGTTTAGTTCATTGGGATCATGGCAGGAAGCATGGTGACTTGCAGGCAGACGTGTCTGGAGAAGTAATTAAAAGTTCTACATTTTCATCTGCAGGCAGCTGGAAGAGAGGGCGAACCATTAGGCCTGGCTTAAACTTCTGAAACCTCAAAGCCCACTCCCAGTGACACACTTCCTCCAACAAGACCACACCTACTTCATCAAGGCCACACCTTTAATAATGCCACTCCCTATGAGCCTATGGGCATGATTTTCACTCAAACCGCACACACACACACACACACACACACACACATACACACATGCACGCACACACACATGCACATACACACATTTATGACTATATATATGAATGATTTGGATGTGTATATATGTATATAATTAGCTCTTGATTGTATGATAGAGATATTTAAAATGGATTTTCTCAGTGGGTTTTGCACTTGCCAAAAATACATAGCCAATTAGGAGAGGAGTGGCTTGGAATGAATGGTTCAGTTTACACACTTCCTAAAATGCAGTTTACACACTTCCTAAAATGCAGTTTACACACTTCCTAAAATGCAGTTTACACACTTCCTAAAATGCAGTTTACACACTTCCTAAAATGCAGTTTACACACTTCCTAAAATGCAGTTTACACACTTCCTAAAATGCAATTTACATACCTTCCAAAATGCAGTTTTAAGTGTCTCTGTTTCACAGAGAAACAAGAGAAATGTCACCTGTCTAGCCATCACCTATGTGAAATGGGATGTATAAACTCAAAAGATAAGAGTTCTTTTGGCAGCTAGGGCATTGTCCACATCTTGTTCCTCAGTTATTCATTGTTGACTCTGTGTCCACCTCCTGTGAGCTACTTCCAGTTACGGATCCATTCTTCTCTGCCTGATGCTTAGTTGTTTACACAAGACTCATTTGTACCCCACAGTGACTCTATTATGTAGTCTATATCTTATTAGTGGTGATAAAATTTATAGCTTTAGGTAACAGCCTAGTTTGCACTAGAGTAGCCAAGAGAAGAGTCCAGGTAACTCTATGTCAAAATCCTTGTGTGGCTTTGTGTGCCACCATTTTAGAGCTACCATTTTTTCTATCAGGGACAGCACTTTTCAGCTATACAGAGACAAGAAAAACACTGGCTTAAGACTAAATTGTGTCACCTCAGTATCTCGTAATGAATTTGTTCGCCACAACCCGCTCGGCTTGAGTCCTGACCCTGGAATTTGGTAGTGAGGGAGTGAAAACCTAATATATGGTTCTGCTATATCGACAACAAGGAACGTCATTGTGTTTATTAGCACGCCACGTGGGGAAAGGTTAGCTAATCTTGGTAGGAAGTCTCTGCAGGTGAGCCCTGTCAGGGTAGATACACCCAGGAAGAGAAAGCTGCAGTTGCCACTCTCTTCATAGACTGCTCACTTGTATGTCAGCACTTACACTGGGACCTCTAAAAGTCTTACCACCCATATGGATAACGGCTTTTCCAATTTCCCGTGGGTGAGAGCCTTGGAATCCTCAACATGCCTGTGCTGGTGTCAACAATACATGTTCACTCAGGACTTCCTCACTTGGGTTTTCCTCCACTCCCTACATACACTATCTGTATCTGAGGCGAGCCAGTTTTGAAGGTAAACTCTTTACAAAAACACTTGATATAGTTTGTATACACACACACACACACACACACATACACACAAAGTCATCCTACACACATACATAGTCTACCCCTGCAGTCTTGGATAGCTTGGATTCTAAATGTGAGTGACCTACAGTTTGGTAATTTAAAGCTTTGTAAATTACCTTTTGTATGTTAACCTATTCTGAATTTTTCTTTTAAGACATTTTTGTAATGCTTCATAATATACAATAGTCTACCCATTTGTTAACGTGTTTATAATTATGAGAGAATGAGTTAGTTTTAAATTTCTGTTTGAATAAAATGGTCCAGATGAAAGAAGGGAAGAGAAAAGGAGATGCAGCTAGCAGCCTGAGCACCTGCTCGCTGACTCTACTCTCTCCACAGTGGGTGGGTAATGCCGTTTTTTTGTACTGGTGAAGGAATGGAGAGGAATCTATTAATAAATAGTATTTGGAATTTAATTAAACCTGATTATCTTCCCAGCGATTAGATGAGAAAACTTCTCTGTGTTTTGAATGTGGGCTCCTTGTCTTTGTAGGTGTCCTTCTGTACATTAAGCTTCTGAGAGGATGAAGGAAGCTATGGGGATGGACAGCTGCGTGTTTCTGCCCTCCTAGCCCCTATGTGCAGTGATGGTTCACATGGCCCAGGATCTCCCCTGACCCCACAAAAATGTCAGTGCTTAAGAAAATAGAGCTCAGATTCTACCCCTCCTCAGCCTTACTCTTGGTTTGAATCTTTCCACGCACAAAGCAACACTGTTCTGGAACATTTTTGTTTGTTCCTTTGTTTGACTATTCTAAGGTCGCACTCCAGTGCCAGAAGGAAACACAGAGGTGTTCAGCTTTACTGGATGAATCACAGATGTGGTGTTTGCTACTAGACTTTTTACTCATTAGGATACAAACCATTCCAGAAATTTCTTGGTGGTTTTTTTTTTTTTCCCTAGATCATTGTCAGGAGAGTGTCAGTACATTACCTGACTCGGTGTTCCTTTGGCTTTGCTACCCAGTGTTTTAGTGTCTGTGCATTGTGAGCAATCCAGTTCCAGGTCAACCCCAGATGCAGTATTGATTCTGAAACTGAATCGACCCCAGATGTGGTACTCCTAACTTCTTGCATCTGATATTCTAGAGCCAGCTCTATTAAAGCATCATTTTCCTCATTAGTTTCTAATCAATATCTCCCATTAATCTTTTGTTAGTGATCTAATTGTTATACCATTTAGTATCTGCCCTACATGTATTTTTTCTATTTTTCATTGATATTCATTGATGACTTAGCTCATAACTAAAATTCCCGTGTGTGCTTACTACAGTTTGAGTTGGTCACTGCAACACACATACAATGTATTTAATAGTCAATATTGGAAACTTTGGTTGTATATGGTAACCATCACCCATATATATTAATATTATATATTTATGTATAATATATACACACATATATTTAAATCTTAAATTTCTGAATTTTCATGACTTACAGCCTAAGAACTTATACAAGATACTCTCTTTAAACTAAAGTACTTTTTATTCAGCAACTGGATAGCTATTATTTAATACATGATTTTTTTTGATAGGATATTGCTATGTAATGTAGACTAACCCCAAACTCTAAAATCTGGTATCTGAGCATCTAAAGCTCTAGGATTGCAGGTATACTGACTTTTAAATAAGTTTAAATTATTTTAAATAAGTAAAATAAGGGCACAAAATTCTTTTATAGTTTTTTATTCAGTGATTATTTCTAGGTTTAAATATTATATTGCATTCCTGTGTGTATATATGTGTATATATGTATGTATATGTATGTATGTATTTGTGCATGACCAGGTGGGAGGAGTAGGATATGTGACTGACATAACATACATGTGGAAGCCAGGAGAACTTGTGGGAGTCAGTTCTCTCCTTCTATCATATGGGTCCCGAGAACTGAGGATATTAGACATGACCTGAAAGTGCCTTTTCTGAAGAGATTTCTGGACTTCTAGAGCACTTGCTTAGCATCGAGAATGCCCTGTGATTAATTCATAGCCTTACCCTAAAAACAATTTCCAAGATCACAATAAAAGAAGAACATATCGCAGACCGATTTATGTGACTGACATGGCTTTAGTCTTTAAAGGATCTACATAGTAAAACCGTGAAAAGAGGTTCAAACGTGACCCTGACTTTGGAAGCTGGGTCAGATGTTTTTGTTCTATTCAGCCCTGGGCATCCCACATACAGAATTCAACAAACAAACAAATGAAAGACTCTAGAAAACATAAGGCAAGCTGTCTGCTTAGGATCCATGGAAG